TGCGATTATATGTATTTAATCATGTGTGATTTATGTTATTAAATACATATAATCACACACGATTTATGCCATTATATACAATAAATCACATATGGTGGTGGTGGTTATAGGTAGTGGGATGTGGTCATGTGGTGGAGATGATTGGTGGTACATAGTGGGTTGTGGTGGTGGTGGAGGTGGGGGACAATGGTGGGTAGTATAAAACTATTGAATAGAAAACGCGAAACGAGTCTTGTCAATATAAAACATATGTGATTAAATACATCATACATATAATCACATGTGATTATATACACGAGAACAATTTTTGAATCAAAAACACGAAAAAAAAATATATTCTCCACATACATCATATCTGATGACATACATATAATCACATATGGTTAAATACACGAGACCAACTAACAAATCGAAAACACGAGAATGAATATTGTTCACATAAATCATATGTGATTAAAATATATAATCAAATGTGATTATATATGTCTAATCACATATGACTTATGTGGATAAGATTTGTATTCTTGTGTATTTAATCACATGTGATATGTATAAAACATATAAGCAAACAAGAAGTTTGTCCATATAAATCATATGTAATTAGATACATATAATCACATATGATTAAATACATTAGAAAAGTTATTGAATCAAGAACACCAAAATCAATCATGTCCTCATTAATCACATATGATTTATGTGATCAAGATTCGTTTTCGCGTTCTCAATTTAATAGTTGTTTATTTGCCACATTATTCATATGTGATTAAATACATATAATCATATGTGATTAGATACATATAGTCACATGTGACTATATGTATCTAATTACATATGATTTATGTCGAAAAAAAAAATTTCCGTGTTCTTAATCCCATATAAATCATATGTGATTAGACACATATAACCAATTATGATTATATACACGAAAACAACTATTGAATTAAGAACACGGAAACAAATTTTTTTGACATAAATCATATGTGACTAGATACTATAATCATATGTGATTAAATAAACAAGACAAACTATTGAATCGAAAATGAAAAAGTGAATATTGTTCAAATATGTGATTAACTATATATAATCACATGTTATTAGATGTATCTAATCACATATGATTTGTGTGGACAAGTTTCATTTTCGCATTCGCGATTTAGTAGTTGTTCTTGTATTTAATCACATATGATTATACTTATCTAATCACATATGATTTATATGGACAATATTTATTTCGCATTTTTTATTCAAATTTTGTTTTTGGGTATTTAATCACATGTGATTATATGTATCTAACCACATATTGTAACGCCATGTTCCGAATCGCCTTCCTAATTCGGGATTGTGGTCTGTGGATAGGTTATCGTAAGGCCTAGGGCCTTTGGAAGGGAGAGATCTAAACCTATTTAAGTATGGATAATGTAATTGAGGTGATCCGGGAGATGGGATGTGTCTTGAAGCCAAAGGGTATATCGGTAAAGTGGCAGTTCGAGCTCTTTATGGGTTTTGGGTTTTATTCGGAAGGCTTTAAGGCTTGGGCGTGTGTTAGGGGCGTAGGGCTTCTTGCCACCTTTTCGTGGATATAAGGTTCGTCAGGAACGGACTTTAGATGAGGAAGATATGACACTTTGAAATTATTGGCAATAGTGGTCCCTAATGGAGAAAAGTGGCAAGAAGATACCATGAATGCAAGATGGACAGCGCGGAAGTACGCCCAGCTTAAGTTGGGGGTACGCCCAGCGTAGAGGAGTAAATGGACGCAGGTGTTGGAGGCGTAGGCCCAGCGTACGTTCAGAGTCCCTAAACCCTAATTTTAGGGCTAAGCACTATATAAAGAACATAATGCCCTAGATATCAGCCTCCCTCTCACCCTTAGACAGCCACCACGAAACCCTAATCCTTCTTTGAGTGTTCTTGGAGCTTATAAGGCCATTAGAGAGCATTTTGGTGTTGTTGATCCATTTTCCAAGCAAGTGAAGAGCAAAGCAAGGTGGTGGTTCAATGGAGAAGTTGTAGATCCGACATTGTTGTTTCATTTCAGACCATCTTGAGGTATAAAGTCTTGAACTTGCCTCTTGAATGCTTAGATCTATTATGTTGAGTTTTTAGACCTTTTTGGTCCCAAGGATGGAGCTTTATAGTTCAAATCTGATTCATAGGCTTAGAGTTGCCACTCTCAGTGCTAAATGATTCCCTAAGAGAGAAAGTTGTCATCTTTAAGGTCTTAATGGGTTCATGCAAGAGTTAAGACCATTTTCATGGAAGTAGATTACCATTTTTGGAGTTTGAGCTTATGTGGGACATGCAAAGTCACCAAGTGACTTTATGGATTTAGACATTGAGAGGAACTCAGATCTGTGATTTGGACCATTGACTGGAAACATTAAGTGCTTAATAGCAAAAAGAGCTTAACAGGGGAGTACGATGGGCGTACAAGCTGGTACGCGCAGCGTACATGTCACGAGCCCAGTACGCCCTGCGTACAGCTAAGTACGCCCCGCGTAATCAGTCAGAGTGGGTTTTGAGCTAGTGGGCCTCGGTTTGGGCCATTCTTTGGACTTTGCTACTTTGGGCCTTAGTGGGCGATCTGGAATTGAGCAGTTGGACTAGAGAAGCATTAGCGAGCCTTTGGCTAAGGCCCATGTGAAGAAATTGGGCTCAATTGGAAATTAGGCCATATATTGGGCCTTGTAAGAGTGTTACCTTTTTCGGCCAAGGGTTGAGTAGAGTCCATCTTTGGACAAGAGTATGTGAGGGGTAGAATGGTCTTTTACCCCAGTGAGGACTTATGGTTAAGTTATGAGAATCCCAAACTTAAGTAGTTTAGATGATGACTAGCAGCTTGGGGAGCCGAAGGATCAGCAGTTCGGGGATTTGTCAGCTAGTAGCCAGGGGATTATCCGTGAGATTCAGCTTTGCGAGGTGAGTTTCCCTTTGTGTGAAAGGGTCTAAGGCACCAATGTCGGCCCGTATATGTATGCATGTATGATTATATGTTCTGGACTATGGTCCGATGGCGGGGAAAGCCTGAGGAATGTTTGTATGCTTGACGTCTTTGTGATTATTGCATGTGCTTGTTTTATATGTTTCCGGACTTCGGTCCGATGTCGGGGCAAGTCCGAGGAATGTTTCCGGACTTCGGTCCGATGTCGGGCGGGGCCCAAGGAATGTTTATATGTATGTTTCCGGACTACGGTCCAATATCGGGCGGTGCCCGAGGAAGGTATGCATGTTTATTTATACTTGTTGTCTTTGTGATACTCGTATGTGCCTGGTAGGGAGGTGGGTATCGGCGGGGTCCCGTATCTCATCACTAGCTGAGTGTGGACGGGGTTCCATATCTCATCGTAGCAGAGTAGGGGTGAGGCCCATGATAGGCGAGGCTTTAGGACTGGAGCATATAGTTCTATGTTGATGCTTTATGTGTTAGTATGATTATATGTTATTGTTTGTATGTGTATAGCGGGCGAGGCCCAAAGATAGGAAGGGCCTGGAAGGAAACAGATATGTATACCGAGCGGGGCTCGATGCCAGGCAGGGCCTGATGCCGCACACTGTCCGATGTCCGGCGGGGCCCGATGTAGGGGCGGGGGCCCAGTATATATGTGATTATGTGTATGGTATGTGGTAGGTTGGGAAACTCACTGAGCTTCGTGCTTATGCTTTACAGTTTTGGTTTCAGGTACTTCCAGTTGCAAAGAGAAGAGCTCAGAATGACTGCATTGCACACACCAAGATGTTTTAGCCTGGGATGTTTACTCTGATGTTTTGATACTCTGATAATAATGTTTTGAGATATTTTGACTAAGCTTTGATGAAATGATTTGATAACTATGGTTTTATTTAATGATTTAAAACGAAATTTTGGACTGTATTTTTAGGATGTTTCACATATGATTTATGTGCACAAGATTTGTTTTTTCGTTCTTGATTCAAAAGTTGTTTTTTGTCTACATTTTGAATCAAGAACGCAAAACCAAATCTTTTGCACATCAACCATATGTGGTTAGATATATATAATCACATGTGATTTTTTACATGAGAAAAATTATTGAGTCGAAAATTCAAAAAAATATTGTGTATATAAATAATATGTGATTAGATACATAAAATCACATGTGATTATATGTATTTAATCACATGTGATTTATGTGATTAAATACATATAATCATATATGATTTATGTGATTAAATTTTATCCACGTTAATCGTATATGATTTATGTGATTAAATAATTATTATTTGTCCACGTTAATTAGATGTGATTAAATACATTTAATACATGCGATTATATGTATCTAGTAACATATTATTTATATGAAAAAAAAATCATGTCTATATAAATCATATATGAGTAGATATATATAATGTCATGTGATTATATACACGATAACAACTAATAAATCAAGGATATGAAAAACAAATCTTATCATACTAACTCATATGTGATTAATTACATATAATTACATGTGATTAAATACACAAGTCCAATTATTGAATTGGAAACTTACTAAGTGATAACTTTCAAATTCAGAGAAACCCTTGAATTAATAAAAATGGGCAATCCTGAGCCAAACACGTTTTCCGAAAACAAACAAAGGTTCAGAAAGCGAAAATCAAAAAAGAAACCGCGAAAATAAATATTGTCTACTTAAATCATATTTGATTAAATAAATATAATCACATGTGATTATATGTATTTAATCACATATGATTTATGTGGAAAAGATTCATTATCATGTTCTCGATTCAATTATTGTTTTTTTTCAACTTTAATCATGTGATTAAATATATCTAATCACATGTGATTATATGTATCTAATCCCATATGATTTATACGGACAAAAAAGAATATTGTCCTTATTAATCATATGTGATTAGATACACATAATCACATGTGGTTACATACACATAATGACAGGTGGTGGTGGTGTGTGGTGATGTTTGGTGGTGGTAGGTGGTAGGTGGTGGTAGGTGGTGAAAGGTGGCGGGGGTGACATTTAAGGTGGTGGGTGGTGATTATAGTGGGTGGTGGGTGGTGGTGGCGAGTGGTGGTGATGGGTGTTGGAGACCGGTGGTGGTGATAGTGGTGGTGGGGGTGGTGGTGACGGGTGGTGGTGGTGTATGGTGGTTTTGGTGGGTGATAGGTGGGGTGGTGGTGGCAGGTTATAGGGATGGGTGGTATAGGTGGGTGGTGGTGATGGGTCTTCGTGGTGGTGGTCGGTGGTAGGTGGTGATGGTGGTAGGTGGTGGTGGTCTTGGTGGGTGGTGGGTGGGGATGGTGATGGCGGGAGGTGGTGATGGGTAGTGGTGATAGGTGGTAGGTGGATGGGTGGGGTGGTGGTGGTGGGTGGTAGTGATCGGTGGTGGAGGCATGTGGAAGTGATGAGTGGGTGGGTGGGGGTGGTGATAATGGGTGGTGGTGGTTGTGGTGGTTGGTGGTTGGTGGTAGTGGGGGGTGGTGGGTGGTTGGTGGTGTGGGGGGGGTGGTGGTGATTATGGTGGGTGGTGGTGGAGGTGGGTGGTGGTGGTGGGTGAGTGATGGTTGTGGTGGGAGTGATGGTGGCGGGTGGTGGTGATGGATGGTGGTGGTCGGTGGTGATGGTTGGTGGTGGTGGTGGGTGGTGGGGGTGGTGGCAGGTTGTGGTGATTATGGCGGGTGGGTGGGGGTGGTGATAATGGGTGGTGGTGGTTGGTGGTTGGTGGTAGTGGGGGTGGTGGTGATTATGGTGGGTGGGTGGTGGAGGTGGGTGGTGAGGGGTGGATGATGGTTGTGGTGGGTTGTGGTGGTGGTGGGTGATGGTGCTAGTAGTGGGTCGTGATTTTGGTGGGTCGTTGGTGGGGGTGATGGTGGCGGGTGGTGGTGATGGATGGTGGTGGTCGGTGGTGATTGGTGGTGGTTGTTGTCGGTGGTGGTGGGGGTGGTGGCAGGTGGTGGTGATTGTGGTGGGCGGTGGTTTTGGTGGGTGGTTGGTGAGGGTGGTGGTGGCGGGTGGTGGTGATGGGCGGTGGTTGTCGATAGTGATAGGTGGTGGTGGTGGGTGGTGGTTTTTGTGATGGGTGGTGGAGGTGGGTGGCGGTGATGGGTGGTGTTGTTTGGGTGGTGAGTGGTATTGGTTAGTAGTTTTTTTTTATTTATATTAATATTATTTGATGATTTTAATTTAAAAAATTGTATGGTTCAAATTGTTCTCAAATATTCTCACAATAAGAAATGTTCTCGATTGAATGCTTATATATATATATATATATATATATATTATATATCTATATATATATATATATATATATATATATATATATATCTATATATCGACGTTCAACGATATTTACTTAATTTTTAAGGCTTTTTTTTTTCCGATTTATCCTGGGAATTTGAATCTTCAATCGGCCATGGCTGGTTCAGTTCAATTATAACATAAGTAACTAATATTTAATAAAAGGGTTAGAGTAATAGAAATCGTGTAAATGCTTTTCAAATCAAAATTAAACTATTCTGATACAATTTTTTGATGATGTCATATAATTTTGGTTTAAAAAAACCCTAACGGTTTGAAGAGAATAGCATTTCGTCAAACACATCATGTGCGTCACACTAACATAGCATTCCAAGGTTCTCCAACATGAAAATACCAACAAAAAGATGGATATGAAATAAAAATCTAGGGCGTGTTTGGCAAAAGTAGCTGTTAGCTGGAAGCGGGTAACAGGTAGCGGGTAGCTGGTAGCGGGAAGCTGTAACTTTTATTTGTTATATGAGTGTTTGGCAAAAGTAGCTGGAAGCTTTTGAAATATATAAAATTACATAAAAGGACAATTGATTAAAAATAAATAAATATATAAATATATTTTTAAGGGTAATTATGGAGAATTGATTTCAAAGCTCAGTCGCGTTTGTTAAACGCTACATGAAGTAGCTTTTAGATTTGTAGCGTTTTGTTTAACTAAAGCTAAACGCTCGTACTACCAAACGAAACTTTTTGTTTAAACAATAGCGTTTTGTCAAAAGCTAAAAGCTAGAAGCTCCAAAACGCTTCCAAAAGCTTCATGCCAAACACGCCCCTAATTCTTTTCTTTTAAGGTAGGACGGAATCAAGACAAAAAAGAGGATGTATCGTTGGTATCTCCAAGACACTGTTTCCTTATAAGCGGGTTGGGACATCCACCCTAAACCCAATTCTAAAGATTCAATTGGATTTTGTTCAAAGAAATTAACAAGATGGATTTGAATTAGTGTCACTGATTCTAAGACCAGTAATCACCAACAAGGCAACACTATAATCATGAGCATCCCAACATCCTATTGATGCTTGTAAGTCATGGAAGAAGATCAAATATCTCCCTCAAATCCATAGACATTTAAGCTTAATTTAAGCCATTTTTTGGGGAAAACAATGGAGTAATTCAAAGTTCAAACTTCAAACTAATACGTGTATCAAATGCAAAAATTCAACAATTATATGACATAATCATAAGGAAAATCTTAATGCATATACATTTCTATTAACCATATGTAATCTTTAGTTGATCTAACTCAAGTACCTTTTCCTCCAATGTTAACAAACCCTAACCCTTGTTTTGCAGTCCTTTTTGTAAACTGAAACACCTTAACGTCTTCTTTTGCATTCTTCCCAATCCCTCTCCCTTCATACCATCCATATCCTTTCAACAATGCAGGTGCAAACTCTTCAACTGAAACATCATCGAACTCATCTAATCCTCTATCATCCGGCAAACTCTTCAAATCACTTCTCAATTTCATCAACATCAAACGATTAATCGACGACAATGATTCCGACCGATCAACTTCCGGGTCCTTATCAAAACGGGAAGCTTTCTTCGTACGGAGATTGAGACCATAGGAGATGTTGGAGTCGATGGGTTCTTCAGCAGAGTTGGTGTCTACTTCGAATTCAAGATTTGGGTCGTTGGATTTGATGTGTATATCGATGTTCGTCGTTTGCTTTTGCGGGTTCCATTCGTTGGCAATTGGGGGAATAACGATAGTTCTTTTGGAAATGGAATCGGCTAGGGTTATGGATGAATCGAACTCTGTGAGGAATTCCTTTTCCGGGGATTGATCATTGTGATCCCGTGAAGAACTGAATGAGGATTTTGAGGGTTTTGATGAATTCTTTGATGAGGAAAGAGAGAAGGAGAGTTTCATGGTGCAGATCGGATATTGAGGTGCCGGGGGAACAAGCTCCGGCAGGTCGAACAAGAAATTGGGTTATGGTTCACCGTCTATAGATTTTTAGAGTAAATTACAATTTAGGTCCCTGAGTTCGTTCATAAGTTTCATTTTTTTGTTACAAATACTTTTACCTTGCAAGTTTGTATATTTTTAGTTGTTGTGCCAGTTATGGTCCCTAAGTTTGTTCGAAAATTGCAGTTTTAATATTTTATTGAGTAAATTACACACATGGCCCCTGTGGTTAGGGTTACTTGCAAGCTTGTTCCCTAAAAAGTTTTTTTTTTAACTCGGACTATCCTCAAAACTTAAATTTGTTATCCGCCCGATCTCCAAATTAACTTGTCATCTATTGTGTTGTTAGAAACTCCGAGGTGAGTATCATGTTGGGGGCATTTTTGTCCTTTCATGTGGGGGTTTCTAACAGCAAAATAGACGGCAAGTTAATTTAAAGAGTGGAAGGATAACAATTTTAAGTTTTGTGATGGTTCGAATTTAAAAACTTTTTTAGGGACCAAGAGTGCAAATAACTCTAACCAAAGGACCAACCGTGTAATTTTACTCTATTTTATTCTTGTAGTTTTAGTGCCTGTAAAAGACCAATATTGTCACAAAGCATCAAAACAACAAAACCCAAAACTATTCAAATTTTACAAGAATAAATTGTTTAGGAATGAAAAAAAAAAATACAATTTACTCTAGATTTTACTTGGAAATATTTCATTTCAGTTATCCCTTTGAAAACACTTCATTTGATATTTTCAAAAGGTTATATTTTGTGATATAATTCTAGATTTTATTAGTTGACGATATACAGTTATCCTTTTGAAAACACTTCATTTGATATTTTCAAGAGGTTATTTTTTGTTATATAATTCACAATTGAAATAAATAAATAAAAAGTTACTAATAAAATCTCATCCATAAAGTTCTACACCAGAACAACTTAAGTAGCATTTGGTATGTATTAGTCGAAGAGGGAATGGAATGGACTATTACCAGAAAATGATTAAAAAAAATCACGTTTGATTGCAATAAGAAATGGAATTGAGTATTTCCCGTAGAATATGATTTCTTCTCCTAGACCGACTCATTTTCATTCAATTTGAAAAAGATGTTTTTCTTTTTCCTTTCCTTAAATGATATATTGAAATTGGGTTTCTTATTAGGACCTTTGGGTAATTGAATTTAAATTTTCATCAAATTGTATAAATGGCTACCGACCAAATACCTCTTAATTATTTTACACTAGGCAAATCTCCACCCGTTGCGCAATAATATAATTATACAGTTAAAATGATAACAAATATATTTCGTTAAAATATCTATATCATTGTCATGAACTATGAAATAATTATTTTTCTATACCAAATCAAAAAGTTGATGTAAAACATTACAATTATACGATACCATATGATAAAATAGATTAATGTTAATATTGAAGTTGAACCATTACGTTATTCATTACATGAGATCCTCCAAGTTTTTTAGGATGACCCACCATGTTATATTGACGAACAAATTGAACCGTCAATAGAAAGTCAAAGTATGTATCTATATATTTTAAGAAGTCACCAACTAAAATATTTTTCCAAAAAAATGACTCGAAAAATCAACTCTCATAAATTGTCGGTTCAAAAGTTAAAAAACAATACATAAAAAATAATAATAAACAAAAACAAAGGTCATCGGATACAATACACACATGATTTTATAAACATGTAAAAAAAATTGACCTAGGTTTTAAAGATATTTTACATAGATAAAACAACCAAAAATGGTAGATAATGGAAATAAAATACTTGTCAATCCATGACTTGAAATCTAAAAGTTAAACTTGTGACTCGACTCGATATACATGGATGAATACAACTCTAAAGTAGAGCTTTGTAATTTCTCAAGTAATATTTTTCTTCATCTCATTTATCAAACCCTAACAACCTCATGTACATATATGAAGTATATATATCTCGATATTAATCAATTAAATATGATAAATTTCAATTAATAATAATAACTTAAAAAAAATGAATTGCAGTGATATAAATTTTAAAACTTTTTGAATATTTGATTTACTCCTTTTTTATGTTTTTTTGTAATATACAAAATATTTGTTAAATTTTATAATATATTATTAATAAATAAGTAATCAAATATTATTTGTTAAACTTTGTAGTATATTTTTATGTTTTTTTCTTAATAAAACATGTTTTAAAAAATTACATCTAAAATAACACAGTTGATCTAAGTAAAACGAAAACTAACAAATTTAAATAATGATAAAATTGCAAAAATGTTCTTTGCGCGTGGCAAAGTTATTTGGTTTTGGTCCAAAAAAATTTGGTGGTGCACCAATAGTCCAAAATTTGATCTTTTTATTGGTTTTGGTTCCTCACACTAACATTCATCCAAATGTGTCTTTACCTACAAAAAAGAGGAGGGTATTTTCATCTTTCCACCGACATGGACCAATGGTTTATTTTCAGTTAGGGTTTAGGAATTAGGGCCATGTTGTTGCATGGGATTGTTGGTGTTAGGGATGAGGATTGAGCTTTAGAACCAGACCGGTTCGGAACCGAAACCGGACCGCCGGTTCTAGCACCGGTTCCGGTCCCGGTCCTGGTTTTTCGGTTATTTTTCAAACTAGAACTGGTTAGAAAATTTTAGATGATATGTTATCTTTCGGAACTTGTAAATGATTCAATATTTAACCAAATTATGACTTTTTACATTCTAAATTGAAGTACAAACACTAAATTATATGATGAAAAAAATCAAGTAATTCCGACTTCATATGAGTGAGTTATGCGTATTTTAAAAGTGGGACAGATTCCAAAAAATAAAAATAAAATGTTGAAACAGAAAATACGCAGCATTGATATGCTGTCTTCCGAGGTCTATAACTGATTCAATATCTAACCAAAATATGTGTTTGTACAGTCTAAAATAAAGTACAAACACCAAATTACATGCTGGAAAAAAATGAAGTAATTCTGACCTCATGTAAATGAGTTATGCACATTTAAAAAAGCGGAACAGATTTAGAAAAACAAAAAAAGTGCTTAAATATAAAAAACGCAGCATAAATATTCTTTCTTTCGGGGCATGTGTTTGATTCAATATCTAACCAAAATATATGTTTATACAGTCAAAATAGAATTACAAACTCCAAATAACATGTTGGAAAAAAAATCAAATAATTCCGACTTCATATGAGTGAGTTATGTACATTTTAAAAAACGGGAAAAATGTCAAATCGGTTCTGGTTTTTAGAACCGGGACCGGTTTTCTTAAAAATGAAGAACCGGTAACCGGACCTTGTTACCAATTCCGATTCCGGTTCCGGTTCCGGTTCGGTTCCGGTTCCGACGGTTCTAATGCTCATACCTAGTTGGTGTTTTTGGATTATGATATTGTAATAGGGTAATGTGGTTGTTTTTTGCATTTTGATATTGCAATATGGAATTAGGGTTATTTTGTACCATTGCAAAAATGTGTACCCCTTTCATGGTTGATATGAAAATCGAATGTAGTTATAACCTTATCATGTTGTGTATTGGTCGTTTCATAACAAACTCATCAAGCCTTCACAAATCATTAGACATGTTCTTAACAAACTTATACCACAATGTCACACCCCCGAAACCAGACGGCGGAAACGTCTGAGGGCTCGCGTGACTTAAATTGAATATCATCACATGAATATACATGAATCATAACATAAACATTCACCTGCATCAATACATTACAACTGATATTGTTCACATCCAGTACATTGTTTTAAATATTACACATCCATAACATAAATTGTTTGAGAGTTTTCAAAACATAACATACTAATATACTTGATATTACCCTTCAGCTTACCTGTTACCTGAGAATACAAGTTATTTTGAAAAAACGTCAACATATGAAATGTTGGTGAGTTCATAAGCAGGGTTGTGATAAAAATGATTTGTGTAGTTTATAAAACCCAGAAAATCCGATATTTTCTGAAAAGACAATTGTTTACCAAAGTGTGAAGATCCATAAGTTGATGCATGAATGATTTCAAAACGTGTATAAAAGGAAGTTTTGTATTATAGTTATAGAAAAGTTACAAGCGAGTGGTGTTGATTTCCCTCGAAAAACCTGATGTTTTCCGATAACATAAAAATAATTGTTTTTCAAATTGCTATACCGCCACAACGAATGATTTTGATTACTCTTCCTTGATTACTCGGATGGTATTGGATTTAATTAATTATGTGAGTCGTTATAACCATGCATAATAATGACTAGTTCGTCTGTC